GTCGGCGTTCAAGAGCTCCGGTGACAGTTCGATCAAAAAATCTGCCAAAACTTGTGATTTCGCGGAGGTCTGCGTTCGATACTCGATATCGAACTCGGAGAGCTCAGTGACCCACTTTGCTATGCGGCCGGATTGTGTCGGGCTGTGCAGGATCGATCGAAGAGGTTGGCTGGTCATGACGGTAATGGAATGAGATTGGAAATAAGATCGCAGCTTTCTGGAAGCGACGACCACTGCAAGAGCGAGTTTTTCCAAGATCGGGTAGCGAGTCTCAGTTCCATCCAAGGTTTTGCTGAAGTAGAAGATCGGATTCTGCTCTCTGCGGTCTTCTCGAACCAGGACTCCTCTGATTGCCGCGCAGGAAACTGCTATGTAGAGTAGCAGAGTGTCACCGTACTCAGGTTTGGCCAGGATCGGCGGTGTTGAGAGGTAGGTTTTGAGCTGCAGGAACGCGTCTTCATACTTTTTGTCCCACTCGAATCGCTTGTTGCCTCGTAGAAGTTGGTAGAAGGGGAGACACTTATCTATGGATCAAGATATGAATTTGTTCAACGTGGCTATCCTTCCTGTTAGGCGTTGAACTTCGCGAGTGTTATTTGGCGAGGGTAGCTCCAGGATCGCGGAGATCTGCTTAGGATTGGCTTCGATGCCACGCTGATTAACCAGGTATCCTTGAAATTCTCCAGAAGTGACTGCGAAGGTGCATTTTGCGGGATTGAGATTCATGCCATACTCGTTCAGTATGAGAAAGCATTCTTGCAGATGGACAATATGGTTGGCTGCTTTAGCCGATTTGACGAGCATATCGTCTATATACACCTCCATCATCTTCTAAAGCTGGTCGGCGAACATCTTGTTGACAAGGCGCTGGTATGTGGCTCCAACGTTCTTCAAACCAAACGGCATGACCTTGTAGCAGTAGGTACCCCGATCTGTGATGAATGCGGTCTTCTCGCTGTCGTCCGGATTCATGAGAATCTGATTATATCCTGAAAATGCATCCATAAAGGAGAGTAGTTCGTTGCCCGCGGTAGCCTCGACGAGCTGATCGATACGAGGAAGAGGGAAACTATCCTTCGGGCAAGCTTTGTTGAGGTCGGTAAAATCCACGCAGACTCGCCACTTGCCATTTTTCTTCTTAACTACCACCGGGTTGGCGAGCCACTCCGGATATTTGATTTTGGCGATTGATCCGGCCTTCAGCAGCTTATCTACTTCGTCGTGGACGGCTTGTGCTCGCTCAGGTCCCAACTTCCGTCGCTTCTGCTTGATCGGCTTGAAAGTGGGGTCGATGTTCAACTCGTGATTCGTTATTCGAGGGCTAATGCCCTTCATATCGGCTATGGACCACGCAAACGTTGCGACGTTCTCCCGGAGGAAACTGATCAGCTCGTCCTGCATGCTTGGCAACAGTTTCGTGCCGATACCGACGCAACGTTTCAGGTGAGCAGCATCGATGTTGACTTGGGCGATAAGATCGCGCTTTGGCTTCTCGTCGTGATGAACAATCCGTGGATCGAATTCGCTGCTAATGCCGATCACGAACGTCGATGCTTTGCGGGCGCGTTTGTTGTCGATGTAACAATGTCGGGACACTGTTTGATCGCCACGGATGATAATGACACGGCCCCTGATTGGCATTTTGATGCATTGGTGGTAAGGAGAAGGGACGGCCCGCATGGCATTCAGCCATGGTGTTCCAAGGATGGCATTATAGATTGCAGGTCGGTCGATAACTTCGAACTTGATCGTAATTGACTTCCCACGTATGGTGACATGCATCGTTATAGTTCCTATCGTTGAGATCGAGTCTCCAGCGAATCCTGTAAGGGGGGTGATGGTGCGACTTTGATATCCCACTCGGGGATACTCATCTTGCGTAGAGTATCCATGAAGATGAGGTCGACCGAACTTCTAGTGTCGATCAGTACTTTGGAGACGTCGTCCTCTCCAAGCCATAGTGAGATGACGAGTGGATCGTTATGAGGTCGGTCTATATCTTGCGCGTCTTGCTCTGTAAATGTGATCGGTAAGTCATCTTTGAACAGTGGTGGGGCGTCTTTTGGGGGGTTGGCTGCTTTCCGTTCGTGCTGTTTGATCGAATTGATCGAGTCGGTGCACGAGAGGAGCCCTCTCATGATCATGTTGATCTGCCGACGTGGTGAGCTTGGAGGTGTGTGATCGTCTTCACGGTCACGCTTTGCTTCCTTGCCCTCGCGTTTAGAAGATCGGCGATCGGCGTTATCTCTTCTATCACGATCGTCACCAGCTCTTCTATCTCGATCGCCATCGGGTCGCCTGTCCTCATCATCGAATCGTCGTGAACTCTGGGGTTCTGGTAGGGTGATCTCACCATCATCCCACACCCTCCTCAAAAGGGCTGGGAGGGTGCAGCAATCATCGGTATGATGACCGTGTGCTCTATGGTACTTGCACCACAGCTTCTTGGTGTCGGGGTCTCTGTCGCTCGAACGGTCCCAAATGTTCTGTGGCTTTTTTGGTCGTCCGACGGCGTTGATACTCTTGCGATTCTTGTCATCCTTGTCGTAGTGCTGACAGGGCTCTTTGTAATCGTCCTGATTCGACGATCTGGCTTTCTTGTCGCGCGAGTACTTCTCGTCGGCCAACTTGGCCTTGGCCTTGGCTGCCCGATCCTCTTCGACTCTGATGTAGCCGGTTGCCTTGTGTAAAGCATCTTCGAGGGTTTTTGTCTTTCCTGTCTTCAATCGCTCACAGTACGACGAATCATCCCTCAAATTCCTGATAAGGATGTTGAGGGATAGTTCGTCTGACAGGCTGCACCGGGAGACGATCGATCGGAACCGATCGATGAAATCGCGCAGCGGCTTCGTGTCACCCTGGACGCACGCCTATAGATCGAGCGCTGTGGACTCCGTGTCGATATAAATCGAATAATGCTTAAGGAACCCAGCTGTGAGCTCCTTGTAGTTATCGATAGAGTTCTTGGGAAGCTGCGAGAACCAGGTGAGGGCGCTTCCGGAGAGCGTCTCCACGAAGTATTGACAAAGGCATGCTTCCCGCTCCTCGTCGGTGAAGCGAGCACATCTCATGGCTGCGTTGAATGCGGTCAGGTGTCGCTTCAGGTCTATCGTACCGGTGTAGCTTGGAGGTAGCTTCATCCGGCCTATGTCCTTGAGAGGAGCACTGGTGATGGCAGACGTGAACGGGGTCTGCTGGGTCTCCTGGAAGATCTTATCCAACTCTGGTTCTGAGGTCGTTGCCTTGTGGATCTTGCTGTGGATATCGTCAAGGCGTTGGTGGAGGAGATCAAGTTCCGAGGCCGTCGTCGGGTCGGTACCTGCGGTATTGCAGGATGAACGAGCATTCGAGTCTACTTCCTGTGCTCTCTGCATGTCGTCTGTCGGTGTCGTGCCGAACAGGTTGTTGACCAGCCTGGTCGTAGCTGTGTTGCGGATCGGAGGGCGAGGGAGGGGGGGTGATTAGATCGGCCTGCTCTTGGGTATGAACCCAGGAATTTAGAAGCCGATCTAAGTCTTCTCGGTAGGCAATCTGTTCGGCACAGAGGGATTCGAAGCGAGCATCCATTCCCTGCTGTAGCTGTGCTGCGACCGACCTGATGATGGTGGCCATGTCGATGGGAGGCGGTTGTGGCAGGTTGGTCGTGTTTATTCCACCGGTCCGGCCGACCTGATCTGTCACGCCTGTCGTGTCTTCTTGCTGATCGGTCTCGTTGATCACGGGGAGTCTAGTGACTGGGTCGACGACCGGACTCTGGGCGTTCCTTGTTGGATCGGCAGCTCCCCCTGCAAGATCGGTGGGTCCTTCTGTGAGGTCGGTGGTATTAGGATCAATGGGTGGTGTTTCGATCATCTTCGAGCTCCGCTTCTTTTAAATAATCTCTTATTCCCCACAGACGGTGCCAACTGTAAAAACTCAAGTTCGATCTACGAAAGAACTAGGGTTTGTGGGTTTAAAGAGAAGTCTTTTATTAGAAGAAGCCGGAGCTTGAATGAATACATGGAGGTTTAAGTCGTCGGAATAAGAACGACGACCTAAACTTTTATGAAAAGTAAATCGAAAGCTAGAACAACCAGATTGCTTAGTTTGCTCTAGGTCTCGATAGATGATTTTTGGATGATTATGAGAAGTCGGGGACTTCCTATATTTATAGCTGACCAGGTCGGTCTTCAACGTGTTTAGAATAGGAAAGTCTTCTTGCCGACAAGAAAGAATTTCCTTTTTTCCCGGGTTGCTTGATAAATGGAAGATTTCATTTATATCACCGACCTGAAACTTGTTAGACGGGTCGACCATAATTCATATCGGGCTTGTAGAGATGGTACGAATCTCATCTCTAACAGAATTTAAAAACAATTGAAAATTTAGGAAGAAAATCGAGAGTATATTAATAAAAATTTATAATAGAATTGATACATACATAATGATATATACTAATATATAATAAATTTATAAAGATACGGATTAGATCAGATATCCGTGATTTGCTCCGTTTTATACGGATATTATATTTTGCTATTTGCTTTGCTTCGAAACTTTACGAATATCCAAATTTTTTGAATCGAATCGAAGCAAATATCGGTTCGAAGCGGATATAACGAATATTTTGTCCATCCTTATCACATGTATTTCAAAATACTATATAAAAGTCTAAAAAGAAAAGAAGAAAGTGAAATTATATCGGAAAGATGAGTTTCTAATTATATTAATGGGAATAGGTGATGTAGATAATAAACAACAATTAATTGATAATTATAAAATTATAAAGAAGAATTTTTGAAAATAAAAAGTTGGAGAAAGCAAATGGGTTAGGCGTGAGCTGTGAATGAGCTGTCTCTCTTTCATTTATATTCTCCACCTCTTGCTCCTTCCACACAACACAGAAGCAAAGCTCCTTCTCTTCCTCATATCTCCATATTATACATTTCCCATTTTACCCTTCTTTCTCCTTTGAATTCTTACCCCATTGCCACTCACACTCAGATGTCTTGTGCAGTGAAATGAAGAAGACGACTCAAATCATCCTCCTCTTTCTTCTCCTCAGTATCTCTCATTCTCTCTCGATCTCTTCTCACGGCTCTCTCTCCGACAGCGAAGTCCGTCACATTCAACGCCGTCAGCTACTCGAATTCGCCGAGCGCGGGGAGAAAGTCACCCTCGATCCATCTCTCGTCTTCGAAAACCCTAGATTACGAAATGCTTACATAGCTCTTCAAGCTTGGAAACAAGCAATCCTCTCTGATCCTTTCAATTTCACCGCCAATTGGATTGGATCCAATGTATGTAACTACACCGGCGTTTTCTGTTCTCCGGCGGTCGATAACCGGAGGATCCGCACCGTCGCCGGAATCGATCTAAATCACGCCGATATCGCCGGGTATTTACCTGAAGAGCTTGGTTTGTTATCGGATCTCGCTTTGTTTCATGTAAACTCGAACCGGTTTTGTGGTACTGTACCACACCGGTTTAACCGGCTTAAGCTTTTATTCGAGCTTGATCTCAGTAATAACCGGCTTGCCGGGAAATTTCCTACGGTCGTTCTCCGGTTACCGTCGTTGAAGTTTTTAGATCTCCGGTTTAATGAGTTTGAAGGAACTGTACCGAAAGAGCTTTTTAGTAAAGATCTAGACGCAATTTTCATAAACCATAACCGGTTCCGGTTTGAGTTACCAGAAAATTTCGGAGACTCGCCGGTTTCTGTCATCGTCTTGGCGAATAATCGGTTCCACGGTTGCATCCCGTCGAGTATGGTGGAGATGAAGAATCTCAATGAGATCATCTTTATGAACAATGGGCTCAATTCGTGTTTACCGGTGGATATCGGACGTTTGAAAAACGTGACGGTGTTTGAAGTCAGCTTTAATGAGCTTGTTGGGCCGTTGCCAGAGAGTGTCGGTGAAATGGTTTCCGTGGAGCAGCTTAATGTGGCGCATAATAAGCTATCCGGGAAGATTCCGTCAAGTATCTGCCAGTTGCCGAAGCTTGAGAACTTTACTTTTAGTTACAATTTCTTTACCGGAGAAGCGCCGGTCTGTCTTAGATTGCCGGGGTTTGATGATCGGAGAAATTGTTTGCCGGCGAGACCGGCTCAGAGGTCTCCAAGGCAATGTCAAGCGTTCTTATCTCGTCCACCGGTAAGTTGTGGATCGTTAAGATGTGGCCGTTCGGTTTCACCTCGTCCTCCGATTGTAACCCCATTACCGCCGCAGGCTCTGCCGTCTCCACCACCGTCGCCAATTTTCTCTTCTCCTCCAGTATATTCTCCACCTCCAACACCACCACCAGTTTACTCTTCTCCACCGCCGCCTCCTATTTATTCTCCACCCTCACCACCACCACCACCACCTCCTCCTCCTCCACCAGTATCTTCCCCTCCGCCGCCACCACCTCCTCCACCGCCACCACCACCTCCTCCGGTTTATTCCCCTCCCTCACCACCACCGCCTCCTCCCGTATATTCTCCTCCACCACCATCACCACCTCCTCCTGTTTATTTTCCTCCACCACCACCTCCTCCTCCGGTATATTCTCCACCTCCACCAGTATATTCTCCTCCGCCAGTTTATTCTCCTCCGTCATCTCCAACACCAACTCCCGTGTACTGCACCCGACCACCACCACCACCACCGCATTCACCGCCGCCACCACCGCCACAATTTTCTCCTCCACCCCTTGTTCCATACTACTACAGCTCACCCCCACCACCGAATTATTCACCACCACCACCGCATTATTCACCTCCGCCACCAATGTATCCATATCTCTCTCCACCTCCCCCACCAACGCCAGTGTATCACAGCTCACCGCCTCCACCATCGGTTTATTCCCCTCCTCCCCCACCTTCATGTATAGAACCACCACCACCTCCACCATGCATAGAGTACTCACCACCTCCTCCACCGGTCGTCCATTATAGCTCACCCCCTCCACCACCAGTCCATTTCAACTCTCCGCCGCCACCGGAAGTCTATTACAGCTCACCTCCTCCACCGCCAGTCCATTACAGCTCTCCACCCCCACCGCAAATCCAATACAACTCTCCGTCGCCACCTCCAGTCCACTACAGCTCTCCGCCACCGCCACCAGCGCCGGTGGTTCACCACACTCCACCGCCACCAACTCCTGAATATGAGGGGCCATTACCGCCGGTCATCGGAGTATCATATGCTTCTCCTCCACCTCCACCGTTCTATTGATTCTTTGAAGAAACCAAAATCCGAAACGATGACGTGGCAAGAACACTAGACAGATTGAAACATGATACGTCGTCGTTCGTCGATTTTTAATTTTTTACACACGCGCAATTCGAGATTCTTTAGAAGATTTATTTTGTGAAAATAAAATAAAATTATTTAATGCAGGATAAATAAAAAGTTGTTGTATAGAGAGGAGGATGGCGATAAAAACGGAGCAACATGCTCCGACTTTTCTCATTTGTGTTTTCCTACTAATTTATTTTTTCTTTCTCTTTTTATTTAGATTTTTCTTTCATTTTGGATGTCTTAGTTTTGTAGCATTATTGGCTTTAAAAATTTGTATTTGATTAATGAGAAGAGCTTAGGCTATACATTTTTTTTGTTCACTATCTTTGTTCATTATCAATTACCTTATTTTCGAAAATTTGGCTGCAAGCCTGCAACTAAGTTTTGTTTGAATGTAAAGCTGGAAACAGTTGCAATACAATTTACACCAAAAAGAAGAAAGTAACCAGCACCGTTCTGATTCCGTGAAGCACAAAAGAAAGATGTCACAATCCCAAACCTACGCGGAAAATAAAGAGTTAGGATAGGAGTGGGGGACCCGGCCAAACTTAGGAAGAAAAACAAAAGTTAATTGGTTAATTTAATATGGAAATTAAAAAACCTTGATTGGGGCTAAAGCTTTTGATTACAAATTACAGATTTAATTTTGGTTTATGCTTAAAATTTTATACTGTACTTAATAATTTTTGTTTATGCTTAAAAGTTTAGGTATACAGTAGAACCTCTATAAATTAATACTCGATAAATTAATAATTAATATAAATTAATAATTTTTGTCAGTCCTAAGTTGGACCAGTGTAAAAATTAGCAAATTTCGATAAGATAATAAGATAATAATTTTTTTGAAACTCCTATGTAAAAATATAGTCCTAATAATTAGATAAATTAATAATTATACATATAAGCATATATAAATAATATAATAAGGTAAAATATAATTATATTATTGTTTCAAATTTATAAAAATTGTTTGACTTATTTTTCAAATTCACTGATATGATATTTGCTGGTAAATTTTACATTGTTGAAAATATTTTTTTTTTGTTTTTAGACAAATATTTTGAATTTTAACTGAAACTAAGATATTGGCCCGCACGCATGTGCAGGCATGAACAATTTTAAAAATATAATTATCTAAATATAATATCTAAATCCGTTTTAAATATTTTAATTTTTTGTAATATATGAAACTCAAAATCAACGTTTTGAATTATAAGACTTTAAAATTAAGTAGTAAAATATGATCTAAAAGTAAACAAAGGTATATTATATTTTGAGACAGACTTGAAAAATAATAATTAAATTTGGAAAACACAAAAATTATTTTTCTATGATCAGGCTTTGTAAAACTTGACCTGTTATGTTAGATGGTCAAATGGGTCAAACCAGTGGATAACTGGTTACCTTCATCGAATTTGCGGATCATGCTGCAAATTTTATTTTCTCTGTCTTTTTTTTAGAACAAATGTTTTTCATTTTCTTTGTCTTCCTATATTATTCATCAATTTAAAGCATTATTTCTTCAAGGATTCTGTCATTGTTGGTCTCGATATACTCATATGTGCGGTTTTTCTACTTATAATTTTATCAAGTAGACTCTACAAATAATTGCAAAACCATATCCACTTAAGCATCAAGTGCTTCAATTAACCCTATTGCAAGACATGTTTCAGCAAAGGTTGGGTATAAAACTCTGTTTACTGTCCTGATATCTTCGAAACATACTAATCTTCTCTGAATATTTGGCAATATTTTAAGGTAGAAAAGCTCACCATATTCTTCTGAGACTTCTGGAAGGCTGATATCGTAGAGAACATTGTTTTTTATGTTGCGAGGGAGCCACTTCTTAATTTTTTGATGTCAAACCCATTTGTTTGGAAATTCAGTGTAGCGATAAAACCTTGCTTCATTACACTCACAATTGGAGTCTACACAACTTTCAAATTTCATTTTTGCCATACTCGATTTAGATAAATGAATTGGTAGAATTGTCATGCCCGCACTTTGAGTTAGGGTTTGATTAGTTTAATACTCATGTGTGTTATGATGTTTTTTATATAAGGATCCGAGTATTTAACTTTTTCATTAGTTATTTGTGATGAACGTGATTTTAGATGGATATTTTTGGTTTTTATTAAATGGACATTTAACTTTTCAAATAATGTAGAGGATAATAATTTTGGTTTTTCATTAGATGCACATTGATTTTTTAGGAAATTCAACATTTGTTACGAAAAATAATGTAGAGAATTATTAAATCGAAATCTTATATTTATATTTGTTATTATTTTAAACTAAATTAGTATTTTTAAATTTTGAATGTTCTACAGAAGATCACAATAATATTAAAAATATATGTGCATGTATTCCATATGAATATAGTATTATAATATATGTATATATGTATCTATATGGAAAGTCATAGTGGTCCACAACATAGCTGTAGTAAATTTAATAGGTATATAATATAGTATTATCCATAATATTATAATATATATATATATATATATGTATGTGTGTATTAAAATCATCACGCTCAGCCCAAAATTACCCATATAGATGAATAATAATATCAGATCATTCGTAATGCATCCGCGAATCATTGCGGTCTAAGACCATCTCCAATGTACATTGTTATTTTCTCCCTTAAAATAGAGATGAAAATCTCTTCAATGTGTTCCTCTATTTTTTCCTCTAAAAAATAATATTATTAAAATATTCTTTTTCTAATTTATTAGTAACACATTTTGTTTCTAAAGTTCATAAATTAACCTTATTTATTTTATTTTTTACAATTCATATAATTATAATAATATTAAAATTAAATATTTATTATACAAAGAACATCACATTACATCATATAAAATATAATATATTTTAATTTATAAAATTATCTAGGACTAAATTTGAAATGAAAATGTTCTTCATTAATTATATTATATGTTTTCAGAATTTATATTATATATTTAGTCATATTATACATTAGATAGATGATTGTTCACTAAATATATAAAAATAAGTTATATAAACAATTAATTAAATTTCTATATTTGTATGTAAATAAAAATAAAAAGATTTAAAAGTTGAAAGACTAATTTATAAATATAAAAGTTAATCTCTATTATAGAGAAAGAAATAGAGTTCTTCCAAATATAGAGGAAAAAATAGCATTCTCTATTTTAGAGGAAAAAATAAAGGTGGATTGGAGAGAATTTTCCTCCAAACTCTATTTTTTCCTCTAAAGTAGAGGTAGATTGGAGATGCTCTACACTAAATTTTGTCATCTAGTTAAATTTTTTATTAATGAAAATATCACAAAAAAAACTTTTTGCCATGTCATAAACCACATGTGTTAGTAAATGACATGTCACAATTACATCATTATTACACATCATCATTTCCATGTCACATTTAATTAGGATAGAGAGAGGATTTTGACCAATCAAATTAAAACAAATCAGTAATTTTTATTAAACTACATTTTCAATTAATAGGTAGAGGATATCTCTCTATAAATTAATATTTTATTAATTTATCGATAATTAATTATTACTAATTTATTGATTAATTAATAACTCTATAAATTAATAAATTTTTGAAATCCCAACATTATTAATTTATAGAGGTTTTACTGTAGTTAGTAATGATTTAGATTTAATTTTAAAATATGTGGATTTATTAGCATAATTTTATAATTTTGGTTTATGGGTTTTTTTTCTTGTTTTTAAAAGTTTGATGTTTTAGATTTTAGTTAATATATTTAGTTTTACAAAAAACTTTTTACCAATTGAAAAGAAAAAAGTAGTGTTGAGATAATAATAAAAAATAAAAAGTAGTTAAAAGATAAATAAAAGACAATTATAAAAATATATATTAAAAACGTGTGAAAATCTTAAAACATCATATTTTTAAAAACAAAAAAGTAATAGATTAAAATTAAATAATGTCATCTGTTATGAAAATTTTAAATACATAATTTTTGTTTTTTTATTTTATTTCTTGTTCTTCCTTATTTTTTTTAATACAATTCTTTTTTTAACACTAGTATAAATAATATAAAATTGAGATAATAATAAAATAGTATAGAATTTTTTATTATTTCTTTTCATTCTCTATCTTTTCTTCACACACTTTTTCTCTCCCTAAAACAAAATAGTCAACAAATGTGTTTTCTATCTTAAAAATTATTTTAGCTTTGGTTATTCTCTACATTTTGATTTTACTATGATTATATTTTAATGTTACTCAGCTAATTGTCTTTATCTTTATACATATAAAATATACATTTGTTTTCTATTCGATTTTAAAAGTCTAACAAAGAAAATATTGGCAACAAGTATAGTGAATCGATATTCTAAATTAGAAATGGTATGCTGATGTGATTATGGAAAGCAATAAGGATGATTATGTAGAAGCTGAACTTGAACCTGATGATGCAATGTTTGTACTTATATGAAAATACCTAAAAATTTATACTATAAAGAGATATATGGATAATCTTTAACTTCAATGAAAGGGTGTAGCTAGAGCCGTGCCAACCTTGATAGCATGCATAAGCGAATAAGAATAAAATGTCTTCATTCAAAAAATTTCATATATAACAATAGATATGGCTGTTATATAGCAAAAATAATAAAATAAAATAATTAATTTAAAGAATAATTTTAAAACTTAATTTTTATTCTTTTTTAACAAAATCGTTAACCAAAATTTTAAAATCAATTTTCTTTAATAGTACTCTTTCGATAGATAATATAGCTAAATCACTTAATTTTTCTTGTGACACAATCGAGCAAAAATAAATTTTTATCAACTTCAGTTTTGAAAAATTCCTTTCGACAGATGCAACTGAAACTGGAATCATTAATAATATTCTATATCTCTATATCTTCAATAATAATGTTTATTTCCATTTTTTTAATTTAAAGGGGGTT